CCTGTTTACCACTAATATTGAAAGGGATGGTAACAGAGCTGTTGTCAGAAACTCTTGTCCAGGTGATGTTTGGTCTTGGTCTACCATCAGCTTTACAGGTAAGATTCACTAAATCACTGTCATTTACTGTCGGCTCACCAAGAATGCCACTAATCACTGGTGCAGCTGTTGGATCAAAACAACAGACTTAGACTAACATGTTTTAGATAGCAATAGACCTCTTTTGACTGGGCGGTTTGTTACCCCATTTCAGACCATGTGATGATACTCTTGAGAATTCTTCCTTTCATATTTTCAAATAGTTGCGTGTATATGAATAAATAATTTTTAGGTGGATAAAAGAACATTTCTCTAATGGGACAACAAACCGCCCAAGTGCACAAGGTCTATTCTTCCAGCTAAATTGCAAATGGGCTGCATAGTAGATTCTCTGGGGCTCTAGATGTCTCATAATGCTCTGAATAAATATTTTAAGCTAAACATTCAACCTAATCCCACTCCAAATGAGGTTGTATGAGGTACTGTTGTCATTCTAGAAAGGTCAAACATAGGCATAAAGGCACCTTTGGGCTTAAGGGGGGAGGCATGACTTTCTTGCCTGAAAAGCTCTCCTAATTTCATGCCCAAATGCATGAAATTGGGAGAGAAACATACTCACATTGCAGTCAGTAAAATCAGAAACGTTATCAATTTTTGTCTAATGAAATTTTATAATTCAAAAAATAGTTAGAACTTAGATACCTTTATACTCTATGATATTGATCGACAGCTTAGCTAGTTCAGAAACTTATAAAAGACGAAGTTGTTCCTTCCTCCTTCGAAGAAAAAAATTTAAAACGACTCTCTGTGGAGCCATACTGAACGGCTCTTTTCGGAGAACCACAAAAACAAAAGACGTTCACTAAATAATTATTTTGTCTTTGCTTGTTGATGGGAAATTGGGAATAAAAGGGATAATTCCACATGAGACATTGAAAAATCAAAAATTTTCAATTATTCCAATTCCCATTAACCCATTGACCATATCACCCGTAACAACCCGTGCAAAAACCACCCCCCAATTTCCCATGCTGCCGGCAACCGCCTGAAAAACAGCATGTAGGAACAATTGCCTTTCCTACATGTAACCTGCCTGAAGACGTTTTGGTTCTCTCATTGTTCTGTTGTTTTTGAAAACAAATAAATCAATCAGAATCAGTGTTCTGAGCATATTTTTAGAGGAATATAGGGGTCCTAGAAAGATGGTTTTTCTTCTTAAAATTATGTGCTCAAAAAGTGGAAGTAATCATGGTGTGTTGTGGGCCAAATGCACAAACTTCCAAAGTCTTGCTTCCATTCCTAACATGAAGAAGAACAAAGAACAAACCATACGTTACTTTTGGCACACCCTGCAAAACGTGCTTGGCTACAAAGCTTTCTGGAGATTTCATCCCTCGATGCAACTCAAAACTGGAGTGTATAACACAAAAACTGGAAGAATAAGGTTGTCTTTAAGGGATTCTAAATGGAAGAAAGACAGTGAGCACAACAATTGTACTTGGAATAAGATGCCATCCATTTAATACATACAGTGCTGAGGAATTTCGAGACCCTAAGACGATATGAATTAAAGTTAAGTGTTTCTTGTTTATGTTTACATTTTAGTTAGCTTCTTTTTTCAAATTAATTAAGAGATCGATTGAACCCCTCATCTTTGATATATTCTACACATTTTACTTTAAGTTCAGTTGTAGAAATGATGTGGTGATTGCCTTTGGAGCTGCCTTTTACAGCAAATAGGGTTAGGACATTTCGAAATTATCAGCTGTGTCTATTTCAGCTTAATATAGCTCAGGACATGTGGCGTGTGCTAAAATATATGTCTAACCCGAAAATTGAAATTTGATGACAGATGGTCAAATATCTACATTTTTAACGTACTTTGAAAAGCTCTCGCGTCGCTCACAATCATTTGCCCAAAGAAATTTTTACAGGAA